GAATGAAGAACATACAAATCTGTTATAAATATATGCGGAACCAATAGTAGATAATCATTTGTAACGCTGATCTGGATGGATGTTAGGCACATGGAAATAATATAAAAGCTTTAGTACAATGTTTTAATCATTATTTGACTTTGAAATTTATTGATCAAATGTTTTCCTACATTAATTCCTATTTCTGGGGGGAGCCCTTTTGGCTTCCCGGAGCTATCCAGGCTGATATGCTAATGTCAGACTTTGGCATCAGTCATGTGTATGGAGTTCTGTGGGCCTACCGGGGACCACGAGCCAGAACCTGGCCCCCTCAGAAAGGCATGAGGAGCAATGGCCTACAGAAACCCCTGTGTGGTTGGAAGCATTCTATGTCTGCCATCGACTGGGTCAGGCACCCAGAAGGGTAAGCGTCCCAAAATAAACCACTATTCTGGTGAAAATTGCTACAAAAAACCGAACAAGTGGATAGAACTCCCCAAAAAGAAACGAGGAAATGAGCATCACGTCGTCGCACTGCTGTCTGCGCAGCTTCCCCTTCCCCCTCCCGGGGAAAGGGGAATCCCAGTTCCCCCTTGCCGGCCATCCACCCTTCAGTTCTAAGGCTGATGCTAGAGACAGACGTCGTGTGCTCTGGCTCCAGTGATTTTCCAGCACTGTACTTTGTGTGTGATGACTGTCTTCCGGGGGGGGGGGGGACACCTAGGGTTCCCTTCCCTAGGTGCCCTGTAAGTACTGCCCTTGGGGCTTGGGGCCACCTTCCACAAGTTCCTTGGTTCCTGCCTCTTCTGGGCCATTTTTCGGCTGTTTTTTTTTTCGGCTGCCCTTTGGGTGCTTGGGTGTTTTGTTTCCCTCGTTTACCTTAGGGTAAGAGGCAGTTTGCACCTGTAAGGGGCGCAGGGTGCTGCGCAGCTTGTTTTCACCATTCGTAGTGGCTGACTCTGTTTCTTTTGGGTACGCTGCCCTCTTGTGGAGTTTTATTTTTATTTTTATTGTGTTGCCTGATTGGGGGGGTCTGCCTTGATTGTTGCCTCCATTGTACCTGACTGAGTACGGTTATATCTTCTGATAGTACCCCCCTGCCAGGTCCCCGTGAGTGTACACATCCCTGGGGTTCAGCTTTAGAGTTTTGCTTGATAGTTTTGGGCGCCGGTTAGCAGTACCCTGCCTTGGGATTCCCTGAGCGAGAGTTCCAGAGTTCCATCTCAGGACCCTGGGGAACCCCACGGGGCGCACGGGGTCCGATGGATGTGGCCCCTTAGTCCCCACTCGCTTTGTGCGAGTTCAAGGGTTGCTCTGTTCCCTTGTCTCAGGGTGAGTCGCTGTTTTTACGTCCGTTACGCTGCCTGTTGGGTCGGTGACACTTTCGACCCAGAGTCCTGCAAGTTTTGTTGCTTGCTGGTGACTCAGTTTACCCAATCTAATGATCTTATGCGGGTACAGGTAGCGCAGGCATGGTGTGTGGGCTTTAGGTTGTTTTGACACGCTAGGTTGGTTGCTCACCCGGATGCCCGAGGCTGCCCCGTTTTGCTTATAGGGACCTGGACTTGGGGGCGATGGTTGCTTCAGTCATGATTCAGTCCACACCCCTCGTCCTTTCCCTGCTGTGGTTCATTCTGGTCCCCCTCCCCTGCTTCCGGCCCCGAAACGTCTGAGGGTTTTGGAGTCAGGGCAGGGTTTAGATGGTCTTGAGACTCGGGCAGTCTCAGGGGATGCCCCTTCCGGTGTAGCGACGGAGGCATTCAAGTCCAATCTCCTTGCCAAAACCTCTGGGTCTGACCAGTGGGCCCCATTCCATCCAGCTTTCATGGCTAGGGCTGTTCCTCGGTCCGGTGCCTTGGGCTTGGTGCCTTGGGCTCGGCGGCTCGTTCTTCGGCTACCTTGTTGAATCTGTTTGCGCCGATCCTGCAGGATGCGGTTTCGCCGTTTTATGCTTCCTGGCTCGAGTGTCAGCAGGCGGTGCTTGCTTCCTCTCTGGAATCATCCTGGGCTCTGGCTTTTAGGATGTCTTTGCCTTTTTGCCCCCCTGCTGTTTGCCAACTCTGCAGTGGTGCAGTATTTGCAGGCTGCCTCGGCTAGTTGTCGTCCTATGTCCGACTTGTTGGTTCTCTGGAGGCCCAGGGAGAGGCCTTCCCAGAGAGGTCATGCCTGGGCTTGGGGTTCCATCGGGGTAGGCTGCTGGTGCCAGTTTCGGGACCGGCCCCGCCTTCGTCTGGTTGGTGCAGTGTTCGCTCTGTGCGAGGCTCGGATTCTCGTAAGGGGCGTCGGCCCTTTCGCGGTATTCCCCATTGACGGGAGAGAGGCTTGTGTTCTGTTCGCCCCCGGGGACCTTGCGTCAGGCTGCTGTGTCGCCGGCTTTCTCTTTGGGTTTTTGGGGTTCAGTGCCTGCCCGAGCCCTTGCTTGATGTGTTCACGGACACGTCATCTTCATCTCTCGGCTGGGGCTTTGTGACTAGTGCTCACGAGGCCAGCCAGGGGCGGTGGGGTCCGTCCTACCGTCGGGCCTACAGCACGGTGCGGGAGTTTGCGGCGGTGTGGTTTGCTTTTCGGAGGATTCGAGTCACCAGCGGATTGACAATCTGATTCCATTCAGACTGCTCCCAGTGGTTCATTGTCTGAACCGGGGGGGGGGGGGGTTTGATGCGGTCCTTGGCTCTTTGGCGCTGGTTGCTTCGGGTGATTTGTCTGCTGAGTTCTCGGGGTTTGGCTCTCTGGCAGTTCACGTGCAGGGAGTGTCCAACATCTTGACCGACGGCTTGTCTCGTTTCGTTCCCCACTCCATGGAATGAACGGTCAATGCCGACTCCTTCCGTTGGCTTTGCCAGACTTTCGAACGCCCCGAGGGGGACCCCTTCACGTCGGCGTGGTTGCAGCGTCTTCCGCTGTATGTGGCGCCCATCCCCGACTGCAAGGCCGTCGGGGTGGGGGGTTCCTGTACCTCTTTCCCCTGATTCAGCTGTTGCTCCAGGTCCTGACTCGCTTCAAAATGTACCAGGGGAGAGTAGTCCTCTTGGCCACGTGGTGGCCGGCCCAGCCATGGTTTCAGGTGCTGCTTGCTCAGTGTCCGAAATCGGAGGTTTTCTCGCGGCTCCGCCTCTTCCAGCAGATCGGACAGGTGCGTCACGTGGCTGGTTCGATCTGCTCCTCGAGTCTTTGCATATGGTATTTTTGACTTGTTTATCATCTCTATTGTGCTCAGGTGGCTTCCTCGTTAGGGTCCCACCTGCAGGCTTCGTCTCTGCGGCAGCATGAAATCTCTTGGCGGTCCTTCTGGTTCTTTTTGACTATTCGTTGTTGTGCTTTGCTTTTGGTTCGGGTGGTGTTGTCCTTTCTCTTGGTTGCTCCAGAACCGTCATCATATGCTGAAAACAGTCGCCTCATATCGTGCAGTGCTGGCGGAGCCGCTTCAGCCTGCTTTCAGTGTTGATGTTACTTCTGCGCCGCCTGAACTGTCCTGGTCATTAGACAGAGTGCTCTCCTTCCTCTCTTCTCAGTTTGTTGTGGCCCCTTCGGTTCAAGATTGTTTCTTGAAGGCACTCTTCCTGTTGGCATTGGCCTCTGGGGGTCGGGGAGCTTCATGCTCTCCTCCGGTGCAGGGGTTTCTGCTCTTTCGGTTGTGGTGATCGGTTTGTTCGTCTGCAACCATCTCCTTATTTTCTGGTGAAGAATGAGACTGCTGCTTTCCGGAGGGGTCCTTTGGTTGTTGATGCTTGATTGGTCAGGCCGGGGGTGCGTTATCCTTTGTGTCCGGTTGTGGCCTTCCGCCGTTATTTGCGCGCCACGGCTTCTATGTCCTGTGACGCACTTTGGGTTGATCCGGTTTCCTTCCTTCCCTGTTCACTGGTGCGGGTCTCCCAGGTCGTCTGCAAGGTTATTAAGGCTAGTCAGCCTGCAGTCTATCCCTGTGCCCATGACGTTCGTAAGTTCACTGCTCTTGCTGCCATCTTTGGCAACATGTCCTGGGCTGACATTCGGGTGCGGGGTTTTTGGCGGTCAAACAGGGTCTTGGCTGTGTGCTACCTCGTGAACGTTCCTGGGCCTAGTCAGGCCTGTGTCACTTTGGGTCGGCGATTGCAGCCAGTTGTCTTGACTTCAGGTTGAAGAGTGAGCAGCAACCACCTCCCGGGTAAGTCCCTCTAATTTTCTTCTGTGGGTAGTTACCTCCGGGGAGCCGAAGGGACTTCCCTCAGAAAACCAGCGTTGAATGTAATGAAACGAGATTTTCTGGGTGAGACCCGGAGACTCCCCGGTATGCCCCCCTCCTGTCGGCGATTTTTCGCATGTTTTGATGTCCAGTCTCAGAACTGAAGGGTGGATAGCCAGTGTGGGGGTCTGGGGTTCCCCCTTCCCCCTCCCAGGGAGGGGGGAGCTGCGCAGACAGCGGTGTGGCAATGTGTGATGTGCTCGTTTGCTCATTTCTTTTTGGGGAGTTCTATCCACTTGTTCGGCTTTTAGTAGCAATTTTCACCAGAATAGGGGTTTGTTCTGGGACGCTTACCTTTCTGGGTGTCTGACCTGGTTGATGGCAGACATAGAATGCTTCCAACCACACTGGGGTTTCTATAGGCCATTGCTCCCCATGGCTCTCTGAAGGAGGCCAGGTTCTGCCTCATGCTCCCCAGTAGGCCCACAGAACTCCATACACATGACTGATACCAAAGTCTGATATTAGCATATCAGCCTGGTAGCTCCGGGAATCCTCCGGGTCTCGCCCAGAAAATGGCATTTTATTACATTCAATGCTGGGTTTTTTGCCAGAACAAAATAATAAATGTGCTTTAAAATAATCCTGGTTACAATTTGCAGTTACCAGCAGTTTCAATTGACAGCACTTGCATTAGTGTTTTGATATATTGAAGTCTTCAAGGCCATCACAGTTGAAACTGATAAATCCCAAGCTAAATTAACTGACACATTGAATTGTTTGGAAATTTGCATTTTAGCATACTGTATTAACTTAAAATATTTCATTAATACCCTCTTGGACAATGATGAACTGATAGGTGTTTGTACAAAATGTTCTTTTAGATAACAGTGACCTGATAGCATGTGTGGTTATTCCTCGGGATGGACAACGCACAAAACGCTTCTTGGTCATTGATGTCATTCAGCTGATCCTCGTAGAACCAGATTTGAGAAGACTAGGTTGGGGAGTTGCAAAATTTGTTGGCTTTTTACAGGTGAGTTTTGTGAGGTATTTTCCCAACTAAATAACACTGAAAACAACATTCTATATGTAACATAATGCGCCTGGATTAAATAACAATGGCAGCATAATAGAATTTATATTCTGTATCTTAGAAACAAAGGTTTAGTGAATATAATTACAGTGCCAGGCACAAACAACCAGACCATACAAGCGACTTTTCTGTGGAGATCCCCTTCGACTTCCCCAAGATATACCAGGCTGTGTATATACAGTATTAGACTGTGGCAACAGTCAGTCGAAGGAGTTCTAGGCCTACCGGGGACCAGAACCTGGCCCCCTCAAGAGAGGCACGAGGAGCAATGGCCTAAAGACACTCCAGTGTAATTGGAAGCAGTCTGTCTGCCATCTACCAGGTCAGGCACCCAGAAAGGTAGGAATTCCAAAACAAACTACTGCTGATAAAATAAATTGCAAACCAAAAGCTGAACTAGCAACAGAACTCCCCAATCAAAACAAAGGAAACAAACATGTCACAACAACCACCGCGCATCCATCTGCACAACCCCCCCCCTCCCCGGGAGGGGGACGGGGGGGGGTCTCAGACCTCCATGCTGGCAACTCTCCTCAATTCACAGGCTGTTGTGACGGTGAACGGTCGATCACCATGGCTCCATTCTTTGCGCAGTGTTGCAAAGCGGTGTTGTTGCTCTGTTGGTGGTGTGAGCCAGGAGTAACACAAGTACTTGGGCTGCCTGCGTGCGCCTAGGGCTACCTTCCCTAGGTGCCCCGTAAGTACTGCCTTTGCGGTTTAGGGTTATCTTCTTTGAGCCTTTCAGGAGCAGCTACCTCCTTGTGGTTCTGTCGCTGCTCGGTGCTTGCTCGCCCTTGGGGTTCAGCTGGGGTGGTTCTTACTCCTGTTTGCCCTTGGGTAGGAGGTAGTTTTGTCGCTGGATGGGGGTGAGAGGTACTGTGCAGCTGTCTGATATACGCATAGTGACTGGTTCTGTTCACCAGGAGTTCTCTTCAAAACTCCGCTTTTGTGGGGTTTTCTTTTGTTTTTTTATTTGCCTGGTGTGGCGGTAGGACCACTTGTATGGTTTTGGTAACCCTCCACTAGGTCCCTGTGCTCGCACACGTCGCAGGGATTCAGCTTTTAGTTTGTTTGCTTGGTAGCTCTGGGATAACCGGTTAGCAGTACCTCGCCTAGGCTTCCCTTAGCAGTGAGCCAGTGGTTTTCCAGGGGGCCCTGGAAAACCCCATTGGGGCTCAGTGGTCTGATGGAGGAGACCTATGAGTCCCACCTCACCTTGTGCGAGTTTGAAGGTTGCTCTGTCCCCTTGACTCAGGGTGACACTCACCGACTGCTTCCGTCTTGCTGCCTGTTGGGTCAAGGACACCTTTGACCCGGAGTCCTGCGAGTGGTGTTCTTTGCTTGTACTCCATTCACCCAGTACATTGAGACTGATAATTAGGTGCAGGCAGCTTTAGCGTTGCATGCGAGGTTCAGGTTGCATCAATGTGCGAGGCTGGCTGCCTTTCCAGATGCCTCGCAGTTGCCCTGCTTTTATTATACTGGTAGTGAGACTCGGGCGGCTTCGGGGATTGCCCCTTCCGGATCGGTGGCAGAGGCATTCAAGCCTGTTTCCCCTGCCGGAGCTTTTGGGCCACGCCAGCGGGCTCCCTTCATCCCTGCTTTTCCGGTGGAATCTGCTTTTTCTCCTGAGGCAGAGGATTTGGAGGACAGCTCGGCCTCAGGTCCTGAAGTAGAGGATTCCGGTCCTGGGGAGTTGACTTGGGGGGGGGACTTGGGGCCCCCAATTGACCCTGCTTGGGTGTTGGTACCCTCTGTGCGGGGCTTGCTGTTACAGGGGGAGGGGTTTTCTTATCCTTCTCCCTGTACACTTTTGTTATAAGTTCGACTCCTCCCCGGCTTCCGTTCAGAGTTCCCTCGAGTTCTTCGATTCCCTCTTTCCGGAGGTTTTTGGCTTCCCGCATCCCACCGAGGAAGGTGAGGGAGGCCCTTGCGGCTTACCTCCTGGGAGACCCGGATTACGCCTCGATAATGAAGCTTCCTTCTTCTGAGTTTGGCTCCTCTTTTTCCTTATTGGGTGCATTACGAGGTGCCGGAGTCTTCCTGGCTGGCAGACTGCCTTTTCTTTTCGGTTGGGGTGTGGCATTCGTTCTGTCGGACCGCGCACTTGAATGGCGGGAGTTGACTACGGTCATTCAGGTTTTCCTGGGGGGCGAGTTGGAGAACCTCAGTGCGTGCTTGTTCATCCCCTTCTTTCCTCACGATGTCGGCCATCGGTTCATTCCGGTATGTAGCTGGTTCGATCTTCTCTGCTTTTCGCGTCTAGTCTTTTTGACGCGGGTTTATCACCACTTGTATGGTGATAATGCTATGTGTGGTGTTCAGGTGGCTTAGTTGGTGTCCCACCTGCGAGTTTCGTCTCGACGGCAATATGAAATTTTCTGGCGATACTTTTGGTACTTGTCTCTTCGTAGGTTGTCTTCGATTTCTGATCGGGTTGTTTTGTCGTTTCTTTCTTGGTTGTTTCAGGACCGTCATTTTATGCCAAATACTGTCTCCTTGTATCGGGCGGCGCTGGTGGAGTCGTTGCAGCTTTTATTTGGGGTGGATGTAACTTCTGCTCCATTCCGCAAGCTTTCTTGGGCATTGTTTCACTTCTGGCCTGCTCATGCGTCGCCTGAGCTGTCCTGGTCGTTGCACCGGGTGCTCTCTTCTCCTCGGTTTGTGGTGCCCCCCCCCCCCTTCGGTTCAGAACTGTTTTTCTACAGCTCTTTTGTTGTTGGCATTGGCCTCTGGGGGTTGGATGGGAGAGCTTCATGCTCTTCACTAACGCAGGGGTTTCTGCTCTTTCGGTCCTGGTGGTCGTTTCTTCATTTGCAGCTGTCTCCAACTTTTCTGGTGAAGAATGAGTCTGCTGCTTTCCGAAGGGGTCTTTGGGTGGTTGGTTCGGCCGGTGGTGCATCATGTTTTGTGTCTGTGGCTCTTCGCTCTTATATGCCCGCCACGGCCTCTGTGGCAGAGGACGCGCTTTGGGTTGACCCGGTTTCCCTTCTTCCTATTCCAGGGCACGGGTCTTCCAGGTTGTCTGCAGGATTATTCGGTCCGGCCAGCCTGTGGTCTATCCCCGTGCCCATGCCATTCGTAAGTTAGTGGCTTTGGTTGCTGTTTTGGTAATATGTCCTAGCTTATCTTTCGGGCATGGGGGCTTTTGGAGGTCAAATAGGGTCCCGGCTGCACGTTACCTTGTTAATGTTCATGGCCCTTCTTATAGCCTTGGGTCACAGGTTGCGGCCAGTTGTCTCGACTTCGAGTTGAGGAGTGAGTGACGACTACCTCCCGAGTGAGTCCCTTTCCTTCTTATCTTTGGTTAGGTAGCTCCAGGGAGCCGAAGGGGCTCTCCACAGAAAACCAGCGTTGAATGTAATGAAACGCCAATATCTGGGTGAGACCCGGCATCCCTCCCTCCGGTCGGCATTTTTTCACGTTTTTGATACTTAGCCTCTGAACTGAGGAGAGTTGCCGGCGTAGAGGTCTGAAACATCCACGTCCCCATCCCGGGGAGGGGGGGCGTTGTGCAGACAGATGCGCAGCTGTTGTGGTGATGTCATGTCTGTTTCCTTGTTTTTGATTGGCGAGTTCTGTGTCTTTTGGAATTCCTACCTTTCTGGGTGCCTGACCTGGTAGATGGCAGACAAAAACTGCTTCCAATTACACGGGGGTGTCTTTAGGCCATAGCTCCTCGTGCATCTCTTGAGGGGGGGCCAGGTTCTGACTCTGATCCTCGGTAGGCTTAGAAGTCCTTCGATTGACTGTTGCCACTGTCTAATATATACACATAAGCCTGATATAGCTCCGGCGGGGGGCCTCCGAGTCTCGCCCCGAAAATGGTGCTTCATTACATTCAACGCTAGTTTTTTTAAGCCAATTAACCCTTTTAATTCGGTATTATGGCTAAATCATCCTGCTTCTAGGTCATAATTACTTGAAACAGATGTGTGCCTTCCCTGATTAAAGGGCAAGATTTCACTCCCCCATACTCACTGATGGGGTAGTCACTTTATTTTAGGGAAAATTACAAGTAATGTGTGGGAAACATTCATAATGTATGGCACTACATATCTGTTGTACTGTTATTGGCAATCTCAGATCATACAACAGTAAAGCCTTCTATATATATTTGTGACCTAATTCTTCTAGGACTTGGAAGTGAATGGAGACAAAGATGATTCTCGAGTGCTTCATTTAACAATCCATCGGCCGTCAGCATCTTCAGGGGCGACTGGCAGGCCAACCACTCCTCTCTTGGCAGCAAAATTTATATTTGATGATCATATACGATGTATGGCTGCTAAGCAAAGGTCGGTACATTGGTAAATATTTGCTTCATGAAGTAAAATAATGTTTACTATTATAAAATAACATTAATGTGATCCATAAATATTCATATTTTTCACAGCATTGATTGTCTCCAAGTTTATGGCTCTTCTGTTTACAAGATATGTTTGTCATGTGGAAATTTGGTGGTATGATAACTGATTTATTCATTACTGTACTGGTTCTTGTTACAGCAATGTTCATTGTGGACAAATTGTAATGTTTTTATTTTTAGATTAACGAAAGGAAGAATGAAAGCACGACAAAGAAAGTTGCATCAGATAGCTCGGTTATTAGAGCTGCCAGGCCATCTACAGCCTTGCCCGTCACCGCCAGCACATGCTCTTCACACGATGCGACAAGAAGCCCACAGTGAGTCGTCTTCCTATTACAGCATGATCACGGATTCAGTCTCGCTTCTTTATACACTGTCTTTCTCTCTTATTTCTGCATTACAGTTATGTTAGATTCTATGGTGCAAGCAGTTCTGTTCAACTGAAGTAGCAACTTGATCAGTGCATTGAATTTTTTATGCTTTTTCAACATTTCACTTAAATGGACTTCCAGTAAAACATGCCAAGAATTTGTGATCAGATTAATTTAGGAAAATTCTACAGGCACCTCCTGTTGCTTGTTATTTGGTAAATGGCAACTGAAAGCCAAAAATATTTTTAGATGGTGTTTAGAATTTCACTTGTGTATTTGGTCATTAAATATATTATTAGTAAGGCATTAATATCTCTTCATTGGTTAATTGTCTTTTTATATATGTTCTTTGGATTGAGGATTCCACAAGCCACATTATATGATTGTGGAACTGTTTCTGAGCTATTTTACTCGAGACTTCCTATGGCAAGACAACTGAATGTTCCATTGGATCGAATCAGGATAGGCATGACAAAGTGACATTGTACTCAGACACAAAATGGATAATTGAAAATGTTCCTGCATGGTCATACTGGTGAGAGGGAAGAATGAAGAAACTCAATCCAGCCAAGAGGAACAACTAAGTTTCTCAATTAAAAAAGCTCTCCAAACTTGACATTACAGGAACCTTTAAGTAGTACTTGCCAAATAGCAGCTTTTCACCTGAGCTCCACTAGAAAACAGCATTCTCCCTAACACCAGCCCATCCTCGACTTTTGTACATTCTTGCCGACTGGTCCCTGTAATGGTTTGTCATGCTCCTAACCATGGACTGTCGGATATCTTGTTTTCAGCCTTACAACCCTTAGTTTCACTGTCCAGTGTATTCATGCTATACAGTATACTTGCTAAGGCAATAAAATATGCTTATTTGGAATGCTTTTTATGTGTGTGTGTCTTTTTGCACATCTCATTACTTTGCTCCCTTTCTCAAAGAAACTGGCAAGCTGTTTGTTTACTCCTCAGGTCAGACAGTGTTAGTATTTTATGACATCTCTGCTCACATCCTTCCCTTTGAGGCTCTTTGCACTTTGTGTGCAAAGTTTCCTTTGTGACTGTCAAATTTTTGTGCTTGAAAATGGGGACTTGGTGTTGGAGAAGGTGTTGTCATTTGGTGGTGGTCAGGAGTAGCAGCCAGGTGGAAATGTAGATGTTTGGGGAGAGTACTTCTTGGCAGTTCCTGTGATGTCAAGTAAGGCTTGGGAAAGCTTTGAATATTATCCAGTCTTTGTGGTGTAGTGGTAAGACACTCGCCTGGCGTTCCGCGAGCGCTTTGTCATGGGTTCGTATCCTGGCCGGGAAGGATTTACTGGGCGCAAATCCTTAACTGTAGCCTCTGTTTAACACAACAGTAAAATGTGTACTTGGTTGTAACAACGATTTTTCACGGCGGGGATCGTATTCCAGGAACCTGCCCGAAACACTAGGCGTACTAGTGGCTGTACAAGAATGTAACAACTCTTGTATATATCTCAAAAAAAAAAAAATTATTAGTAAATTTTCTATTGTCATTCTGGCCTGGATTGATAATTTCTCTAGTGCCTCCATATCACCAGCATGACCTAGCAGAGGCACTTGAAAGATCTTAAATGTTTTGGTGCACAATGTTGACCAGCTGTTACTCGTGATCCTGTCCTTCGGAACACCAGTGATCTTACTGTAGGGCTAATCCCAGTACTTTACTCAAATAACTTTTCATATCACTCGCTGCCTGATATTTTCCCTTGTGCCTGTAACTAAATCGTATTATTCCACAATGTGAATTCATTCTGCAAGCAAAAGAAAGTCATGGTATTTTACTATAAATGTACATTTAAAAATTCTTTTTGGAAATTTAAATCTGACAAAATTAGGAAAAATTTGATGTAAAAAGTCAACAAACTTAATTACAGTAGTTGTAAATTAACTCTTCGATTCATTCTCTATTTCCACTCTTCCTCCTCTCTCTCTTACTTTCAATCCATACTTTCTTCCTTCCTATCCTTTTATTTCCTTTTCCTTTTTGTTTTTCTTTTACTCTTTCTTATTTATGACCAAGAATATTTGATTTCTTCATACATAGGCATGCATTATTCACTTGAGCATTTAATTAAATGTACAGATAGTACTTACCAAAAAGTATTAATAAGTGTATAATTTTTTCAACAAAGTCTTAAGATTTATTCATTCCTTACATGGGGATGTTTTAAGTACATATTATAAAAATATATTGCAGATGCAAATTATTTGAGATGGGGTTTGCAGAGGTAGGTTGCTCATTGATGTGATTCTTCAACCTAAGCCTTCCTCACATCCTTTGTACTTCTCCCCAGTCCATCAGCACCATCCTTCCTTGCATCCTTCATGCTTCTCCCCAGTCCATCAGCACCATCCTTCCTTGCATCCTTCATGCTTCTCCCCAGTCCATCAGCACCATCCTTCCTTGCATCCTTCATGCTTCTCCCCAGTCCATCATGCTTCTCCCCAGTCACCATCCTTCCTTGCATCCTTCATGCTTCTCCCCAGTCCATCAGCACCATCCTTCCTTGCATCCTTCATGCTTCTCCCCAGTCCATCAGCACCATCCTTCCTTGCATCCTTCATCTTCTTCATCAGCTTCTCCCCAGCTCCCCCATCCATCAACACCATCCTTCCTTGCATCCTTCATGCTTCTCCCCAGTCCATCAACACCATCCTTCCTTGCATCCTTCATGCTTCTCCCCAGTCCATCAGCACCATCCTTCCTTGCATCCTTCATGCTTCTCCCCAGTCCATCAGGTTTTCTCGCATCTTTTGTGCTTCTCTTCAGTCATTAAACATTTGGAAAGATTCACAATTCTGGTATTTCCCACATCCAAAATAAACTGCCTTTAGCACAGTGTCTGGCACACTCCATTACACATCTTGCATTTATCACAGCTTGTGCATTTTATATTCGCACTACCTTTCAGTTTTGCTGCCATCCCATCGTTGGATTTCTCGTAAGTCTTATCCATTAATAAATATTTGCAGTTTCCTATTCCATCTCCATGCTCCCTAATTTTCCAAAGTACTTCCCAATCAGATTTTTGCATATAAGATAGATTTCCTAAATTTTTCTAGGTTTATCACATTCTGTAGAAAATAAAATTACTGGCTCAATATTTCCATCTAAAGTTTTCTCTCATTTATTGGTTCACTGTTCTCAAGGATTTTCTATAGCAGGGAAACATACATTACCATCGTAAATCACCGTCATCGCTGCTTTGGTTATTTGTCCACTTTGTATTACTGTTGAAAATGTCTGTTTTTGTGTTGTTTTTTTTTAAGTTGTGGCCATAATGTAAACTGGCAGTAAGGAAGGTCACTTGTGTGGGAAAATACTTGTACTGTATTGATAAGTTTGTGTCCACGTATAAGCCCGTGACTTGAGTGAGGCGATAACAAACAAGTCTCCCACACAGTGTCTTACTTATTCTTTAGTGATTTTAGTTATGCTTTCTATTTTTCTTTTAAACTTATTATTTTTATTATTTATTTATTTATTTTTTAGCAGCTGAGGAACTAGATTTATTTAAATGCCAAAGTCAGTATAGTATATTGTGAATTATAACGAAGTGCATTAATTATCAAGTTTTGTTTCATTAGTTTTACTGGATTAAATTGCAAATTTATTTTTAAAAATTTCCATAGTGACATCACACCATATGAGGAATAATACACAAGATTTTGTGGGCAAATTTACAGGGCACATGCGACAGCGCTCAAAAAAATGACAAACAGCTTCTCATCTGTCGGAGGCAGGGATCTGGGTCAAGGAAGAGGAGGGCAAGTGTCATTGGTTTGTGTGTTTGTGTGTGTGTGTGTGTGTATGTATGTATGTGAGAGATTGTATGTAATTACCTAAGTGTAGTTACAGGATGAAAGCTGTGCTTGTGTTGTCCCATTTTCCCAGTACTCTTTATCAGTCTGTATAGTATATTATGAATTATAATGAATGAAGTGTATTATTTTTTGTGAGTTTTTTGTGTGTACTGTGTGTCTGTCTGTGTCTGTCTGTGTGTGTCTGTGTCTGTGTGCGTGTGCACGCTTCTTGTGTGCCCATATAATGTCCATATGTTCTTGGAGTTATGGGTGGTGACAGTGGTAACAATGGCTTTAGATTTTTCTGGGGGGAGTCCCGTCGGCTCCCCAGAGATACACCAGACTGATATGCTAATGTCAGACTTTGGCATCAATCATGTGTATGGAGTTCTAGGGCCTACCGGGGACCACGGCCAGAACCTGGCCCCTTCAGAGGCAAGGGGAGCAATGGCCTATAGAAACCCCCGTGTGATTGGAAGCATTCTATGTCTGCCATCGACCGGGTCAAGCATCGAGAAAGGTAAGCATTCCAAAACAAACCCCTATTCTGGTTAAAATTGCTACCAAAAGCCGAACTAGTGGATAGAACTCCCCAACAGAAAACGAGCAAACTAGTATGATGTCACATGTTACCGCACCGCTGTCTGCGCAGCTCCCTTCTCCCTGGGAGGGGAAAGGGGGAGCGCCAGACCTCTCACGCTGGCTATCCACCCATCAGTTCTTCGGCTGATGCTATGGGCACCGGTTGTGTGCTCCATCTCCATTAGTTGTTTCAGCACTGTACCTAGAGTGTGGTGTCTGTCTTCTAGGTGGTGCGTGAGCCGGGAGTGAGTCTCCAGTACTCGGGCTGCATGCGCCTAGGGTTCCATTCCCTAGGTGCCCTGTAAGTACTGCCCTTGGGGCTTGGGGCCACCTTTCACAAGTTCCTTGGGCTCTGCCCCTGCTAGGCCGTTTGCTGCTTGGTTTTCGGCCGCTCTTTGTGTGCTCGGGTGTTCTGTCTCCCTTGTTCGCCTTAGGGTAAAGGGCAGTTTTGCACTGGTGGGGCACAGGATGCTGTGCAGCCTGTTTTCACCTATATGGCAGCCAGCTCTGTTCTGCCTGGGTATGCTGTCCCCTTGCGGGGT